ATTTAAGCACTGAATTCCCCCCCCCCCCCCCCCCTTTTTTTTTTTTTTCTTTTTTTTTTTAATTAACTAAACACTAAATAGCATTTTGTCTAAAACACTATTTAACAAGTGGATTAATTTTTCAGGGCTGAGTTACGGAAAAGGACAGTAAATAGCATACTTTACCTGTGCTACAAAGTCTATTATCCTCGCTTTGATGTAAATACCTTCCAGAGGGACAGGATTTCCCAATCTGTCCTGAAGACCAGTTTTTACAGAATTCGAAAGATTTGCATTTGGTAATTCATAGCCTAAACAAAGAGTTTACAAAAGATTAGAAAGATATTTTCTGAAATATACATTCTGCAACTAATCCTGTATCAATGGCCCGTGTTTATTTATGCAACTCATAACACACAAGTACCAGTTTCTGTTATGAATACTGGAGTTGAATTGCTGAGCTGTAGGCTGCCTGTCAGAGCAATCATGAGTTCATGACAGTTCTTGATAGTCTTACAAGGTCTTTGTTCAGAGCCTTGCATTTGAATTATTTAAAGACCATCTGATGATTTATGCAGAAGTGCTTCCTGTGCTTCTCTGGAAACACACTGTCTCCGGAGGACTTGCAACTGCTGGTGGTAATTATGTCTATTAGGAAACGTGTTCAAAACAGATGCTACACAGATGCCACACCATAATCACTAATTTGGTTACATCCGCAAAAAAAACTACAAATCATTTTTTATTATGTTATCTTCATACATGTACTCTAAAAAGGGGTCAGATAGGCATCTAGGAAACTCTGGAAGCAACTCAACATACAAACAGAAAACATTTCTTACTCTCATGCTGTAAATGACATTGCGACTCTGGCTCATGGTTATCTTTCTCCAGTTCCATCCCAACTTCAGGCTGGAATTGCTTTATTTGATCTTCAGCAAGGCAAAACTTAACGACATACATAATTTTAACCTGACGGGTCTCATACACAACAAATTCATCATCCTGGTAAAAACAAAGAAAAGTATTTTACATCAAAAACAAAGCTGTAGATAATATCTAAAACAATGCAAATTGATTAAGAGGTGTCCCTAATTAACACATCATTTCTTGAAATATGATGTGAATCTGTCAGTCTTATTTTCACCCCCTTGATCTCTCTGTATCACTACCACTTGCATCTCTTGTCTTCTTAATTTGTATTCTCCACATTCCTTGTATCTCCTCTGATATAAGGAATGATAAAGCACAATTATTCCTCAAAATAACTAAGAACAGAAAAAGCAAAAAAACCTGGTGGATACGTAGAGAGCAACTGTGATCTGTTGGTGTGCCACTACTGCTCTCATGCCTGCCTTAGAGCACCAACCTATAAGGACAGGGATTTTGATCAGCTGGATTCATTTACAAAACAATGAACCTTCCATGGTAGTGTTTTGTTATCCATACGAAGTAGAATATCGCTCCCAAATAACAATTTAAATATCACAGAACAGATATTTATACAATGATTCAGTTATAATAAAATAGGAGTATTTACATCTTTCTTTTAAGTAGTGTTTCCTTGCAAGAATTCTTTACAAACAGCACTTTAGAGGCTTTGAATTTTTAAACACACTTTACAGGCTGAAAGACAGACAAAAGTAATTTTATGCGTTACTGTTTAGTGATTTAGTGTCTGAACTGAAATGCAGATTACATTCATTTTATTATCTATCAGTGGTACAATAAATCCAAAATTTGGTGCCTTTTCAAGTGCCCAATACTGCAGGATGAGTACCTCAAAGTCTGAAGAGATGTCTCCTGTTCTACGGACTCCATGCACACTGTCAAAACCTGATGGTGCTTTATTTAATGAATAATCTCGCTCATACAGATCTAAGCAGGATCCAAGTGCCACGTCACAAACTGCCAGGAGCCGGGTCCCATCCATTTCACTGGGTGAAGAATACTTAATACTGGCACTATATGTAAAGAAAGATCAGACACATTTTACTATAATTTATATAAATGTAAACATCATAGGAATTTAAGGATACACAAGTACTTCTGAACAGATGGACAGGAATAAACTTTATCATTAAATTACTTTAAAAGTATTAAGAATTATATCTACTTAATTTTAAAAGTAAAAAGAATACACAAAGGATAAAGAGATAGGGTCATTATTCAGACCTAACAGAATCACTGAAGTAAATGCCACTGCCCAGATTCCCAATGTCAGTTCTCTCCAGGCCGTGATCTTCAACAACCACTTTCGGCAATAGCAGCCCTCTAGAGAAAAAGAAGGTCACACAATGAATGAAGTACAAAATACTTCTGCATGTAGCATGTGGGCTAGTACACACTGTGCAGTCACGAAGCACAGAGGATTAAAACAAAAGAGACTTTGGAGAAACCATCCATAGACACTCAAGGAAAATAAAGTCTATTCATAAAAAAAATAAATCTCTCGAAGTCATATTAATCACCAAGACACTGATTACATGAGCAGTAAAGACTGTTGTGCTTCATTAAGCACAAACCCAATGCGTTTTCCAGATTCATTACCAAACATTCAAAATAATTTTTTGGTTATTAGATGAGTAGCATTTCTAGCAACCGTGCTGTATTCAATTTCTGTTCAATTTAATTCAAAACTGTATGAAATTTTTGTATCTAAGAAAAAAAAGTATGAGTTTTAAAGGCAGAATGCTGGGGAATGGATATTTGGAAACATTTCCAATGTTTGATTTGCAAACCTATTAAGTGTAAAAATACCATCTATAGACTGTTTGAGACATTTCATTTATTACCAATTAATGCCTACAGAAAAGATTTTATATATAAAGAATGTAATAGGACAAAATGTTTAAATAAGTTCAACAGTTTTGTAACCTAAAATTAAAATCTGCAGTATAAGGAAAACAGAATGCTAATATGACTTTTGAGGTATTTGAATTCTGATGGCGTTATGTATCAGATATGTTTTTTGAAATATCCTTAAATTTTCAGTGGCTGGAATTCAATGCATAAATACTATGATGAGGATTTAAATATGTCAGGCTACTAGAGGTTCTAGTATTTTAGCATTATTACCACACCTGAGTGAATCCATAGTATTCGGTCATAGAACTAGATATTCTGTTATTCCAGGAAATTATCATAATCTAAAAATATGCCAACTAAAGCAGTCATGGGGTAATATTGCATAGAATACTGTCAATACAATTCTTTCCTAAAACAGAATACATTTTCCACACAGCCATTACTCTCCATTTTGTCATGTTTCACATGGATTTAAACCACACTCCTCCTCCTCATATCTAAATTGCTACATCTCAAGTCTAATCTAGTAATTAAATTTATCACTACAAAAGATTGATTTTCTTTCCAGATGTCTGCAGAAGTATATGGATGTTCATAGTCAATAAAAATTAGGTTAAACATAATGCAAAAGAGCTTAAAAAAAAAAAAAAGTCAAAATACATTTAAGAATATAGTTAAGCCTGATTCAATGTCACAAAAAAGGATTCAATGTCACAAAATTTTACCTGGAAAGAATTCCCATGAAGTTGCGCACAGATGATGCATGGAATAAGGATCGAATGTTTCCAAGACTGCTCAGAAATTCTGCTCTTTCAGTTACTCTGCCAACCCTATACACTTGTAAAATTCTCACTGAACAGTTACTGCAAGAAATTAGAAATTATCTTTGAGATCTCATGACGTAGAAAAGTACATTTAAGATCAATACACTGTTAAAAGATAAAGCCTTATTCTAAATCTCAAAGTAACATTCAACTTTTTGTTACCAATTTGGATGGGAAATATTAAAGAAAAAAATAGCTTAAGAGAACAATCACCAGTCATATTGAAAACTTAATGACTAAGTTCAAGATCTACTTAGACTTTTAGGGAGAAACTGAAAATGTGTTTTCATGCTGAAAGTTATATGAAATTACCTTATTTGACATTTTGGGATCTAAATTCAAAGATGTGATATAGAAAACCCCAGATAACTCTATACAGGTCTGAGTCTATAAGTATATAAATTATTGCCAGGAAACCTATCTTGTACTAAAAACACTTTTACTGAGCATACTCAGGGACTTCACTGTCCTGGCTGAACTACAAGTATCTTAGCATCACAGTTCAGGCCACCTGGAGGTAGTAACTCTCAATTAAGAAATACACTTGAGAGGAGGAAAACTTGGGTTGCAATCCCACCTCCAGCAAGATTTATGAATTTTATGTACAATAGTTACAGGACAGAGCTGTCACCAAGATTCTTGTTCTTCCCTAGTTGTGTTTACACAAACCAAAAGATTCAGGTTCTCTCTTTACTGCTTCTTACTCTTATCCTTTCCAGCTGAATGCTCTACTGAGCTATTGTGTAAAGACCTGAGTGGAGAACAGTGCGCCTACCACCTTCCCTCTGCAGCCTGCTGCCCACTACACATGCTCAGAATATGCTCAAATGACCGACCCTGGACTAAGTGCTGTGTTGCTTAATGGTATAAAGACAGTGATGCCCTGTGAAATACCGAGAAGGTAATTTTAGGATTCTAGGATTCCTAACTGTCACGCAGTGAGGAACCTTTAGATTTACAAAGTAACTGAGAAGAGGACTTCAAGGATCACAAATTCAGACTGATACCTGAAGTGGGTAGCACCAGCAAAGTAAAAGCACAAACCTCTGTTTAGAAATCAAACCTTCATGCTTTCAAGATTCAATGAGCTTCAGTCAAGTTCTGAGTTCCTGAATACTAAGATAATATTGTCAAACAGGACCTAGCCGCTTTTGTAAATCTGAACACTTTACTCAAGTCCGAGTGACAGTTTGTCACCTTGAGGAAGCATGGTTTCTTTTGTTGAGGATTAGAGATATATTATGTCCTAATTTACAAAGCTGCTATATGAACTTACATGAAGTGGGTTTTTGTTTTGTTTTGTTTGTTTGGTGTTTTTTGTTTCTTTTTAATAACCATATGTGAACTCTGATCCTTCAGCATTCTTCTACTGCAGTTGAAGTTTTTATAAATGGCTTTTAGATTAAAATCTAAGATTGCAAATGCAGAGACTGAAAGGGAATAAATATGCTCCAATTCTTGCAATGTCATTACGCTTATCTATTGTATAAGAGTAGTGTTAAACTTTTGCTGCAAAATCCTCTCCCTATAATTAATTTATGAATTAGCATACAGACCCTAACATAGATAACTGCTAGCTACAAAGAGCCGTCTCCCCAGTTCAGGTAACAGCAAATTCCCCAAAACTTAATTGTTTCTTTCACAAAGCACTAAAAGGTGGAACTCAGTCACATAAACTATTGTTCTATTAATTTTAAATGACTCAAAAATTCAGACAAAATGTCAAGTAAAAGTCAACTACTGAACTTTCCTGAAATCAAACAGAAGTTTGCATATTCTAAGCACCGTGCTCCTTCTATATTGAGCAATATATATAATATATACTTGAGCAATATATATTTGCAACCTGTAGTTGCTAGGTAGGCTTAGACCTTAGCTGCTTAAGATGATATTTACTCAGTAAAAACAAACTTGGAGTGACTATATCTATATCTATCTATCTGTCTATCTCATTGAAGCCCACTTAGTTCTTCCCTGTATTAATGATCTAACCATTGATTATCACATTTCTGGAACCATCTTCTCTTTAATTTCTTCATATTTACCTATTATTAAATTTTATTAACCACAGAGACAGGATGCCCAGTTAGAAGCCAATGTCAAAAACATTAAATAGAATTACAGGCAGATCTGCAGAATAAATTCCCAGAAATACGTCTCCCTCACACAACTGAAAGATAACTCGAAAGGGATGGCAAGTTCTGTACATCATCAAATGTGACCAGGTATTCTCTCCTGCCCCTACCAAGTTCATTCACACAGAAAAAAAAAATTTCTTTTACTCGGCAGAACCCAAATTTTTACTTTTATGTTTTCTTTTCAGTTATTGTATAAAATGCCTGGAAACAAATACTGAGAAACAGAGTAAAGAAGTCTAGACTCCATATATCTTATTTTAATAGCTTGTATAAATAGACAGCTCTTCACAATTAAAAAACAGAAAATTGACAATATTATCATTTTGGGGTTTTTTTATGTTTACCTCCATTTCGTTCTTTGTAAGTTATGGTAAATATGCCAGCTCTGCAATCCAATTAGCACAATCAACATTGCACAGTAACAGTACCTGATCATTCAGTTCTCTTTAGAGGTATTTTGTGCACTATACCTTGAATTCTACTGGAATCATTGCACAGCTATTAAAAACTCACCTGTAATTGTTTTTTAACACTAGTTGTTCAACATCTTGAAATTCAGAACTCCTCGAGTCAACAGCTTCAATCTTGCACCTCAGAGCCTGGTATTTGGCCAAAGATGACGGGTTTGGGCATGAGATATTCGTTTCACGTATATTAAGCATGTCTCTGATTAGCTGGAAAATACAGATGAAAATTTGTGAATACTTGCTACATTTTAATTAAAGAAACTTGCAAGCCAGACTGAATTATATAAAGTTACAGCATGTAACAACGAAATGGAATACTCAAAAGAACATTTCCACTTGTTAGACACAGTCTGGAACAAGAGCAAACAGTTGTAGAATCCCATGAAAGCAATTCTGAAGAACAAGGTATATGAAGAATACTGATAAACTGCTTCTGTACAACTCCAAACCAAGCTTTCAGTGGAGCTTGCTCATAACAGCTCCACAAACCAGTATTTGTGGAGCTCATTAGGTAATTCTAGTTAGAATCTGTCTTTTTGGGTTTTTGGCCACTATCCAGCTAGGGCTGTAGCACATGGTGCACATGTAACTTTCTCTTATCAGGAGAAAGAAGGAGATCTAACTTTGAAAAGATTGTAATGCTACACTTCACTAAGCCATGGGAAAGCTTTATGAGGCATAATAATTTTTTATATCAAAAATCTTAAAAGGTTTTAATTATCAAAAGATTTTCAAGGTTAAAGGTGCTATTAACATTTGTTCTTTTAAAACAGTAAGGAGCCTCCTTCCCTTTACCTCTCTCCCTTTATGTTTTGTAACTTACAGAAGACTGACTTCTGGATATTCTTTGACGAAAAAGGTATCTCTGGCAGAATCCATGGAATTTACATTATAATTGCAACACAAGGAGGAAATCTGAGTTTGCTCTGTAGCTAAAAGAGTGATGAAGCCATCAGATCTCTGACTGCCTCTCGCCTCTCCAGAAAGCCTGGCTGCCTGGGCTCAGGGCCAGCTTTGACAGTGCAGCTGTGGAGCCTTGAAAGAGAGCTGTGGGAACACTCAGCAGAGTCCTGACCCTCCTTTGCTTAAGAGATGCCTTTGAGCTTTGGCTCTTGCCCTTGGTCTCTCAGCTAAGCTATGTTCCTTTCGAGCCTCCCTGCTCCTGACCCACATCCCGTGGACTCGAGTTCCCGGTATGACCTTGGATCTGCCAGACAAGCCATAATAATGAGGCAATCCAGACTGACCCTGGCTGCTGTCACCAGCAGTCACTGCCACCTGCTCTGCTCTTCCTGTTAGGATACCGTGGGACCGGAGCTGCTGCTGGTGGTGTAACTGTCCCAATCTTGCTCACTTTCACCCCAAGCCCTGCCTGCCCGCCCTAGATCTATACATACACTCAGCACACCTCGCTGGCAATGCCCCCGCAGCCTGAGCATTTCTCAGCTGGTTCCTACAAAGATGAGACAACTACTGACTTGCAGTCGAATGACAGAATTCCTGATGGACTGAACTTCCAGCCAGCCTAAAAATGGAGCTGACTAAGTAGTGCAGGAGCTGCGGGGGGAGCTATGGGAGAGACAGACCCTTGGAGATTCCCCTGGGGAGGTCAGCTACGCTTAGACCGACCGAAATATGTTCTCCGTTTAGATGTGCTGACTCGTTTCTTGCACTAACAATCCAGGCAGCCCATGGAAGTCCCCCAGGCAGTCCCTGCTGCAAAAGTAGAAGCAGACCAAACTGTCCACAGACTGCTAATTTTAAATAGTCTCTAGAAACTGTTTGTGCATACACAGGAAAGGGTACACAGAACGGTCTTTGCATACAGTTAAAATAGCTTAGATGTATTTTGCATATAGTTGAAGATAATAAATATGAAATTATTATGTATACGCAGGAGTAGTGGCCAGCGTAAGCTGTTTGATAACAGTTCTGTGATTCTCATTTGATCCAGCTGAAGATGCCACCAGAACAATGACTGCAATGGAAACTCCCTTCACCATCTGAACAGCAACTGGTCTTCTTGTTCAAAACAGTGAATTCCCCCAATAAGCCTTACTCTATTCATTAAGGTTCCAATGAATTATTTTTTTTAAAACTGACAGCCTGTGACTAGCTGTGGAAAGCATCCTGTCAATTAATCTAGTGAGCATATTCAAAACTGGTGTAGCACAGTGCAGATCAGGACTCACGAGCAATCTGGAAAAGTTACCTGACACAGGTCCTGTTTCTTAGATAACAGCTTTTTGGAAACTTTATAGTCTATTTCAGTTTTGTGACGTATAACTCGATAGAATTCCATCATCATCTCTTGCAGTGCCACCTCGCCAGCTCCTTCATCCAGTGCATTTTTTACTTGGAGTAAAATACCTTCTGCTTTGCTCACCTTTAAAGGAAGAGATTATTAATCGGAAAGCTATGTCAAAATTGCAGAAAGAGCTCAAAGCAATAAATACTGAAAATGAATCATTAAATTCCACATTGAAATAAAACTTTTGCTGTTAGTGAAATATCCACGAAATAATTTCTTGCAGGTAGGATATAAAAACAGTATTTAAAAATTGGGTATTATTCTGCCCTTGTACTGGGCTACTTGCAAAGCAACTCAAGTACAGCTAAGAGACAGTAAAATAACCTCCCTGAAAGAAAATGGAATATGAATCAGATTGAATGATAATGTCCCTTAATATCTTGTCAATTCATATAATCAGCTTTAATGCACTGATGAAGTAACAGAAAGTAGAGGATAATAAATTTCTTACTAAACATCTGTGTGCCCTAGTTCAACCTAAAATACATAAAGCAGAGCAGAAGTCCTGTTTATAAAATGCAGTTTACAGATAAAATAAAAGTAATGATTAATTTTAGACAGTTTGCCCAGAGAGGCAGGACATAGATTTATCTGTATATTCCTTCTCAATTGGAAATTTTTCACAAAATACTGTATATTATTTTGCCTTTTCAAGGCAGGAGGAGGAAAAAGGCAAAAAGCTTTTTAATTTATGTTAACCACAGGCAACATCTAGTAAAATGTTGACATTAGAGGCTGCATAGCAACATCTTACTGCAGTTCAATACTGATCCAAGACTGGTCTCTGTCTCACAAATGCCTTTGGGAGAAAAATGGAGCGTTAATATAACTGAACAGCAATCCACTTAATTACTGTGTTTCAAAAATCCGGAGTTGTTGAAGTGCAGGAGTATCAAAAGTGTAATTACCAATCCCTATCTGAAACACAACATACATGTTTTCTGGGAAAAAAAGAAATTATTATAACAGCATTTACATATTCACTCTCACAGAGTAACAAGAATTAACTTACATCATTTAGACTTATGTTGTTTACTGATTCAAGTAGCAAATTATCCAGGTGGCCAACAGCTTCTGCCCATATCAGTTCCACAAAATCACTAACTTCCTGACATATAGCACTTGAATAGATGGCTTCTTCTAGATGTAACTGTAGTAAAATAAACACAATTCAGTGAAAAGACAAAGATGCAAGTCATGTCAGTGAAGTTCTTACACAGATAATTAAACTTTCCTATTCCCGTAAACAACAGAGTGCACAATGCTCACTTATGCTTGGTATAATTTCTTTAGTCCCATCGAACTGAAGGGAAGGTTTGCTTTTATAAACTCTTTCAAGTGGCATGGAAGGCCAGACGGCCATGACCTCTCTTGTAAACTGAGACATAAAGTCCTGGAGAAGACAGAAGTTATTTGTTTGGTATCTTTTATCAGTACACTGTACTAGCAGGTACATGGACACAATAGTCTGCAGACCTCAGCCACTTCCATTTTTGCACAGCTGGTAAAAGAATAGATGGTTCAAAATGGCCAGTGTCTTATAACATCTCAAACAGATGACAGTAGATGTCTAGTTCAGAAAGCTCTGCTGGGAAAGACATTATTCCTGTGAAAATAAAAAATTGGAGCAGCAAAGCTACAGGAGAAGAGAGAAGCCATGCAAATTGGTGCAATTCATACATCAAAAAGAGTTGTGAAAACAGATTTTCTCATGTTCTTCTGAGGAACATTGTTAAAGCATTTACTTGAGCATTTTTTCACTGTTCTACAACACTAGAAGCTGCCATTAAACTTGATGCCGTTAAACAATTCTTACACAAGTTTGGACATTCTACAGTACTTGCTTACACAGAATCAACCCCACAGCTTCTGAGATCACTAAAGGACATACACGGGCTTTTCAATATTGCTGGATATAATCTATGTCTATATTAGCACATCACCTTTTAGGTACCACATTAGTTGATAATGCATTTACTGAGGGAAAAGAAAACTCTATAATGAGTATGCCTACAATTGCTTTTAATGTATTTAAGTACTGGGAATATTCACTCAATATTCCAATAATTTTAAAATGTTTACATATAAGCAGTTTCCCTTAACCTAAAGCTGTATCACTGTAATCTAGACAATTTTTACCCCATTCAGAAAATTGGAAACTAAAGCAAATCATTAAGGACAGAAAAGTGTAAACATGCAAGTTGTACAAGCCTGTTGCAATTTTGTAGAAGCTAAATGTTCTGCTTCTGGTGGAAATGTTTCTCTGAGCAGGAAATCCTGTTTCTTCAAGTCTGCAATGAAAGTCTCGTACTTTTCTCTTATTTCTTCAGGAGTATTAGTTACAAATTGCTTATTATTCTGTAAATTGAAAGAGTAAAGTTAGTCAAAGAAACCATATAGAGATGTAAAGAATCAATTTTACCACACACTGTTCTAACAGCCGACAATCCACATTTAAGTTCTGGGTTGTGATTTAATAGGCTTCAGGCAAGGCAAAGCTTTCATGAGGCTTCATGGGACACCAAGAACAAGCACAGGGCTCCATGTACAAACCACCCCACAGGGACAAGATAGGTTCATCTAAATGTGTGCTGGAATAACTTGTTTTATCAAATGAACCATTCAAAATTCATCCCTGATGCAGTTCCTTTGACTGGAATCTAGTGTTGTTGCAATGACACAGACTGTAGTTGCTGTACCAGAGTGCATCCATACATTTAGGCTGGCCTCAGGACAAGCTTTTCTGTCTCTCAATAGCATGTCCAGAATATCACTTGCTATAGCATTTCAGCATGTAAAGTCCTTACAAGTTTAGATATTGCCAGGAAAATCTACGTGAGTAGGAGGCAGGTGCATCCAGGACCATGCTGTGCTGCTGTCAAGTCCCAAAACAGTTCTTTTGAGCAACATGTAAGCAAACACACAGATTAGAGGAGCCAACTATAAATCACACTTTTTATGGTAAATCTTAACAGAATGACGTCCTATTGTCTATATCTAAGGATGAGGCTGCAAGTAAGAATTAAAAGCATCTGAAGGCCTCTAGAAGAGGTAGGTTCAATGTGCATAAAGAGACAAACAGGTAATGTCAATGAGAGGTTCATACCTTTGTTCCATCTGATGTACTGAAGTTTGCATATAGTCGAAACGGGAACTCGCAAAGCTCTTGTGAACACTGTAATTCAACAACTACAAAATCTTTGCTTTCCATGGAGTTGACCTAAATGGAAAGAGAAATAAAGCTGCTGAATTCCCAATTTATGACTGAAGTATGTTTCATTCACATTATATTGCGCCAAATACTTCGCCCTGTCCTATTTTTTTTTCACCTGATTTAGCACCACTACGATTGGTGAAAAAAAGAAGCAGAATTATTCATTATTTGTATTACAGCAACAAGCAGAAGCTCCCCTTAGGGCTTCACTGTACTGACAGCTGTATATTTGCATCTTTTTTGTGTTTTGAAAGATTTTTTAACTACAAAAAGTTCAAAATTTCCATCAGATTAACCATGTAACGGCCATGATAACATACATTTTCTCAGAAGCAAACATAGTATTCTACTGCATTTCTTTGGCAAGAACGCTACAACAGTAATAGAAAAGTTTTATTTGGGTACAATTAGGCTGCAATGAAAGACAGAAAGCACTGAAGTACTTTTTAATACTCCTCTTTGCATCGCTGTACATGATAACAGAAGAGTTACTGTTGATGTATATAAAACTATAAACATTTTATTCATCTACTGATCCTCCTACATTCTCCCACAATATCAGAAAGGCTTACTTTTTCAAGGACGCTGTATTTTGCAACTTCAAAATCTTGGGGGAAAAAAGGAGTATCTTGATCATTTTCACTGTAAAATCTGGAACGGAATTGGAATAATTAAAATCACATATGGCCAATAAATACTGTACTGTAAAAGGCTGCAATGTCATACTAAAGTAAGAACTAATGTAAGAAGATAAATCTATTTTCAGCAGTAAAATAACAACAACAACAACAAAAGTTTTGACAAATGAAATCCTACACAGACAAGCTGCTGCGCCACCAGGCCAGAATGTCTAGTGTAAACCTGAAGACTAGATTTCTATCTTCATTCTTTAGAAAAACTATGGAAGCAACATAATAAATGTATTTTCATTGCCTGGTTACTTGTTAATTTCTTAATAGCTTGGTCAGCTACCTGTGCTGTCTGAGGCTAATTCCTCCTTTATTCTTGACTTTTACATCAGGATATATACATGTAGTCATATTCTTCGGCATCAGGACTTGTAGAACAAGTGTAACTTCTAGTACGTTCCCACAAAGTAACTAAATAACTACTGAACAGCAGTCTCTAAAATTAAAAGCTGTGTTTTGTTCATAGATTCAAGAGTGCTGGAGCTGGTTTTGTTGCTTTAACTCAATAATTAGAAACAGTTATATCAATATTGCCTCCCTATCAACTAAGGGCAGTCTCAGTTATCTTGATTTTCTCCCAAGAATTTTCATGGGAGAAAGAGATGCTCAGCACTTCTAAAAACAGTGAAGTGGACCGCATTGGAAAAATCCGTGTGAACCAAGAAAAGACAAAAATTGTGATAATAAACAGAGCACCAATCAGCAAATGATAAAGCATGAGACATATTAATGCCTGCTAAGTTGGTAGAAGCTTTGCATATATTAGGGAGCTGGATTGTATGTGTCCACTGAGATGGAAAAACGTAAAATAATTTCCAGTCACATCCGAAGGTGAAAAAAAAAAAAGAAAGAAACCATTATAAATGCATACACAGAATACAGAAAATGAAGAAAGAATAATTTTATCTTCCACTACATCATTAAGATAATGCAAGCCATCTCCAGAAATCACTGAACCAGAACTGGGAAGTGGGGTTTTTTCATCTGTTGGTTTTTTTTCCAATTTACAGAAATATTAACATAGATATATCAAAATATATCTTTAATTTTGTTTTATTTTACCTAAGAGTCCCCACTTTGGACTCAATTCTTCTCTCGCTGTCTTTAGTAAGGTTGGAATAGTCGTTTTCATTTTTCTTTGTGGCATTTTTATTTTCAGGAGATGACAGGTTTTCCACATCTGCAATCAAAACATTTATTTACCTGGTATAATATCTGTTTTCTCTAATTTAATTTATGAATAATTAATAAAAACAATACTACTACTTAATATTAATAAATATTTTACATGTTGGAACAACTTAACAGCTTCTAAGGTCACATTTTATTCAGCCTTTAACTGGCAGGATATGGAGTCAAGTATTAAAGGGCAACTGCCCCAGCTGCCCCAGTGGCATTAAATTCTATTTAATGTACACATTCAATAGAATTATCTTTCTCATCTCTTTCTGATGTTCTTTCACTTGTTTCACAGCATTAAAATGAACATTTTTCTTATTTCCTTCTACACAGTGTTATAGTTGTTTGCATCTAAACCATGTTACACGCTGGAATCCTTGAAGTTCTTCTATTTTAATTGAGTTCCATTAAGTATTTCTGGCCCATGTTAACCTTTTCACTAGCTATCTTATTTTCTCATAATTTTGACTTCAAAACATAGCACTTCTGCATGCAAAGACATTGAAAACCCACTGCGTTTGGTTGAAACTAACTAGAACTTCCAGGTTACTGGCATTTTTTTTTTCAGTGGAGTCAAATAAAGACAGTAATTGGAGTAGATTTTTTGTTATTTTTAGTATTTTATTGACGTTTCTGTAGATAAAAAACCCCACTGAATGGAACTAATATTCCTTTCCCAAAAAATTCTTTTTTCAAAAATCAACTTTATTGCCAGTTTCTACGGTTGCTTATTTCTTAAAAGCTGGTTCTAAATATTAATCTTCTCAAACATAATTTTCCAAAGTAACTGATGGAGGAATAAACAATGTCAAATACACCTACCCTGCCTTCGGTCAGATGTGTCATCTTGTGATATATTAACCTTAAATGCATCGATCTGTAAAAGCTTCCCCTTTTCAGCTGATTTCCAAACGAAATCTGGACTTAAAACAGGCAGCTGATACTTCTGAATAGTTTTTCGATCACGACAGCTGAGGACATCAGCGGTGTCCACAAGAATGTGTGTACTCTGAAAGACAGGTTACAATGACAGTTGCTCTGCACACATAACTACAGTGTTCATCCAAATACTGTGCGTTTGCAATTCATCCTGGTACAATCCTAGAGTCCAGAGGAAACATCTGAAAAACACACAACCTTTCTGGACCATATCTGAATCGAAACTTCCAGTTTAGAAACATGATGCCTCTGCACTTCATCCACAGACAGCAGAGAGAGCAGGACTTTTTCAGGTGACAGTTCAGCTCAACAAAAATATGTGTATCTTCAGAGTGTTCACTTTTCTGCAATTACTATGAAGATACGAAGGTGCCCAGGTGCCTCATGTTCTGCAGAGCTTTTAGCAGCACATAGGGGGTCCAATAATGGGCCAAGTTCAGTTGTGGCAAATGTGATACAAACCCAAAGCTAAGTAAGAGTGTTTTAAAAAAAAAACAAACAAAAAAAGTTGGGCAGAATGCTGAATAACTATAAGCAGCTTTGGTAGCCTTATAAAGAATCATATATTATTTTGCTGGAATCATATATATGCTGAAAATTAAAACTTTCTGCATAGTTAGAACAAAATAAAAACATTTACAGAAGTCAAATCAAATAAAATGGCCATAAGTAAGAGGCAGAATTTTGCACCTTGAACAGTAAACATTAAGCGTGCAAGAACTGATGGACACGGAAAAATTAAAGATTATTACACCAGAATGAAATTAGATCTACTTTACTTGGAAACAGGATGATAAATGTGTGTACTTTTATTTGCCCTATATGACAAAAGTGCAGTTGCAAAACCAGAAGCGCTGAGTCCAGATCTGTTCTGAGGTTCCCATTTGGAGATAGAGGAGATGGTTTTTAATCATAAGATAACTTCTGAAGCTTGGGTAAGATTTACACTGAACAGGTTGTTCACTTCCTGCTGTTCTCAGCATCCTAGAGCTCACAAATTTTAGGTATTGAAATATCAGTGATGCACCTCCTTATTCAAAGTTCCCCCTCTGACAATGAGAGAAGAAAAACAGCAGGGCAATTTTATCCAGGAAAAATACTTCCCCGGTTCTTCCGAGGAAGGAGAATATTGCTTTTAATTTTTTATGTGACATTTCAGTACTACAAAGCCAGATACATTAAAAATGTAAACTGAATATTTCCATTTAAGTATTTATCAGGGACATAATCTCTATAGTTCTTATTTCTCTACATGCGGCAAGATTAACACTCTACAACATTTGCACCACTTTATATTTTCCTACTGAGATCTCAGAAATAAATCTGGAACTTACTTTGTGATTAAGCACATAATTAACTACTCCACCATTTTCTTGTATGCATGCTTTCAGCCTGCTCTTCTCCTGAATGGGCAAGTATTTAACTTTAACAAAGAATGCACAGTCTGCAAAGACTGCCATTCCCCTCCTGTTAAAAGAGAAAAGACATTTTTATTTTGGGCTGAGAAAAGTTTCATTCCCACTATCCACTTAAGTAGTCTCTCACCTAATACGTTGTTTGCAACTCTACAAAGTTCCAAAATGAATCCCATTTTATTAGCATGGCAATCAAATCCACCCATCTTTTAATCAGTGAATTATTATTTTTTTTTAAATTACGCAGAAAATTTAGTGTGACCTACATTTTCTGGAAAGTCATGGCTTGAATGAAGTGCCAGACTCCTGTCTTGATCTCTTGCTGCTAATACCCACTGTTAGTAATGTGGAAGTATCTTAATTGAGATTGGAACAACCTCTCTTTGATTTCCCCTTTCACACAATATAATTATAAAATAACTCTCTTTTTCATGAATGTAAACAGCTTTTCATGTTTCCATTCACTGATTTATAATCTGCAAACATAAAAAAACCCCAACATTTAAAAAGAACTTCAGAAAGCTGATCCAGATGAAACCTAACACAGAAAAAAAAACCAAAAACAAACCCTGACGACAATAAAAAGCCCAAAACTAAGAAGCTGGTTTTAATCCAGATCAGTTTTCTGATTGAATTCACCCTCTCGCTTACAGCAAATATTTACAAAAAGGAGTAGTGTAGCAGTGGAAGTGATGGAGAGGTAGGGGAGTGATGGAAGTAGGGACACTGCTGCTTTTCTCAGCGGTGTCAACCTGACTTGTCTGTGAAACAACTTGAATGAAAATCAGCTGCGTGTCACTTGTGACTACGTTAAGATATGAGAGACTGAGAAAGTCTTATTTAAACAGGAGTAGAATTTATGACAACAAATTATAAAGTCAGCCTGTGGTTTAAGTGATTAGAATATCTCTACAACTACCTAGATAAGAAAATCTCTACAACTACCTGAAAGGAGACTGTAGAGAGGCGGGGGTTGGCCTCTTCTCCCAGGGGAATAATGACAGGACCAGAGGAAATGGTCTGAAACTGTGGCAAGGGAGACTCAGATTAGATATTAGGAGGAATTACTTTACTGAAAGAGTGGTCAGGCACTGGAACAGCCTGCCCAGGGAGGTGGTGGAGTCACCATCCCTGGAGGTATTTAAGAATCGTGTAGACATGGCTCTTCAGGGCATGCTCTAGTGCCCAAGGTTATTGGTTTGTGGTGGGGTGTAGTGTGTGGGGTTGTGGGTGTGGGGTTTATTTGGTGGGTGGTGTTTTTGGGTTTGTTATGGGGTTTTTTTTGGTGTTTTTGTTTTTTTTTTTTTTTTAATGTGGTTGGACTCGATGATCTCAGAGGTCCCTTCCAACCACTAAAATTCTGTGATTCTGTGAATATATCATCAGTGTGCATTTATTTTTCTGGATGCCTATGAGTGTAAAGTTAATTTAAAAGCTGATGAGAATGATAAACGTAGTGTAAATGAGAGCACTACACAGAGCACCCAGCTCTTTGTATCACACACGAGCTCCTCAGCATGTCATGGGCTTTTTAGGGTGAGTGTTAACAGGGAGCTTGAGGGCCTTATGAGTGGGTGGGTTCAGACAGAAGCCAAAACCAACACCCCTGGGACTAAGCTTGTTTGAAGCAGGTTGCCCAGTTTGGTTTTCTCTGAAAGGGATTCAGATGGCACACCTCAACACCACTTTGAGAACCTAACATAAGGCAGCTCTTGACAACCAAAAGATTTGGTTTAAAATGGCATTGCTGTTCCAAGCCAAACTGCTAATGCAGATGCATTGCTAATGGGACAGTAAATAGCATGAAGAGAACATGTGCTTATGTTCGTATATTCAGGTCATAAATTCTTTTTACTGATGATTCTTTGGATCTCAGTATTCAGTGTCCATATCTCATCCAGAGGGTTAGTATCAGCATCAGTGGTAAAGACTTTGTTTTTACTCTAACTATTTGTATTTCTGGAAAAAGCAACTCTATGATGTAAATTTTCCACAGTGACTTAAGGCCAAATAATTTTATTTGTGAGATAACTGGACAAAAATACACCAAGTATTCTACTTGGCCTCTCCAGATTCATCCTAGACTCACAGGATGAGGCAGAACAAATAAGAAATTGCTTCTTTGAAAGGAAAGCAGTTCTTGTGTTAGCCAAAAATGCCTGATATTCAGTGTCCTCTATCTTGGGGAGGCCATTTGGAGAAAAAAAATGACCTTTCTCCAACTTACTGAGGGATCCCACACAGACTGCAAATTCTGATTAAGCTTCTAGCCTCCTACTTGTATAAATAAACACCCCCCCATCAAAGACCGAAAAATGGAAAGTAGACACTGTCTGAACTACTTGGGTTCATTTATCACTTCTCATTTTACTGCACTATGTTTGCGCAAATGAGAAAACGTTTATTAGAACAATAGTTTTTTTATTAGTTTCTTAGGACTAAAAATAAAGAATTTAATTCCCCAATAGGTTCTCCTGGCTTAAAAATTAGCATTGGTCAAATTGCACCAAAGCATTTACAAGGTCAACAAAACATTTACATCAACCCTGCAGAAAGATCCCAGGGTAGTGCGGAGTGAGAATAAACCAAAAGACAGTTAACAATCCAGAGGAAATGTTTAAATGGCACTGACAACAGTACTTCACAATCTAAAATAAGATTATTGTTTGATTAATTTATCAATGACTCATGGCTAGAGCAGATTATTAGGATTAGGTTTCAGTTTTAAAAAAACCACAACAACCAAAACACAGTAGCCTGAGGTAATGCTGGGGTGGGATTTAGAGTATGTTACCTATACTACATTTACTGAATGTGTTTATTTTCTTCTTCTATGGCCTATTAGATTTTCAATGTATGCAAGTAAAGTTGTTCATCAGTGCAATAAAAAAGAAATCAGATGGCCATAGAATAACTTAAATTATGAGAGCAACATAATTCACTTGAATTTGGGGTTTCATGAAAAATTGGGAAATCAACACTATGAGACACAATTCCATACACATCTGTAGAATTTTATCTCGAAGCTAATAGGAAGGGCCCAAACCATCTACCACACTATGCATCCGATAGAACTAGCAACTCTGTAATGATAATATCTGTATTTATGTCAGGCAGACAGCAGATCAAAGGCAGATGAGATCATATACATGTATTTTGTGGCTCATTTTTGTTTTTTATGGCATTACCAGTGCTTTTGGCATACAAGTACTCTCTGCTCACACACAAAAAACCTCCATATTTTAACTAAGAGTTTTTCACAAAATACTATGTTACCTGAGGTGATAAAAATTTTTTACAATGCAGCCTTGTTCTAACTTAGCTCTGTGGGAAACTGCATCTTTAAGAAGCTCTGCTTTGTGGTATAAAATCTTATTTTAAGCTACTTTTATCAACTTTATTTTGAATCTTGTCACAAACAAGGTAGATTCATTTGATATATAAGGCCAAATGTGCCAAAGGCTTCCTTTAACAACCATAGTATAGATATGGACACTGCCTCCCTCTACACTAGAGCTCTGTGTGCACTAGTTTTCTCAGTATATTCTCTGAAGCAGACTCTGGATACTGCTAAAGTATCACCAGAAGTTGTTTCCTCAGGAAATAATGAATTCTATTTGCACAGCCGAAACAAAAAGTTTATTAGAAAGCAATGAAATACATGCAACCTATTGCAAGCATCAGCCCTGCTTGTATATCCATTATCTCACACCAAAAAACACCAGAAGCAACTGAAATTGGTAACTACACGTGGTACAAAACTCCACAAAAGTTATGTTACATTCGCTTATGAAAATCAGGCTGCTAAGAACTGAGAAAAAAAAATATTGCAAGAACTGATCTGTAAATAAACCTCAGGTCAGCCAGTAGGCAGAAAAGAATGTATAAACTTGAAGGATTCATTTCCTGCAAGTCTGCCTGCAAAGCTCCCCACCACACCCCCCAGCTCTGTTTCCAGCACAAGGTATTAAATGACCCCTGATCCAAATCCTCTTTTTAGATTTTGAGGGGGCCAAATCATTTACACTCACCCGCTCAGGCAGCCGCCCTCCCTGAAGGATCTTCCTGCTTCCTCAACAGCGTGAGGTTCAACCGAGAGCCCGGGCGTTGTAGGTAGGAAGGGCTAGAACACACTCATACCTCCCTGTAAAAATGCCCAAAAGGACAGCAATCCAGTCAAATAGACGTCAAAGCCAGTCAAAGTGCAGTCTACTGCACAATAAGGAGCAGTAACCCTCACTGCACTAGGAAGGAGAAGAAAATTGCCACTGTTAAAGCCCAAGTGAACTTTGGAATACCTGTCAGAAAGCAGGAAATAGGGCTGAAACCTGCTCAAAGTTTATCCCTGGCAGTTTTTCTCTCCCTTGAGTGAAGATTTTATTCTCCTTCATTGTTGATGAATGCTACCACTGAATGCTAGCCTCTCTTCCCCTAATTCTGTAGAGAACCACACTCTCAAGGAATTTTAGCAGTGTTTTGACTTTCCAAGATTCAAAACCAGAATAGAAAACTATTGTATTTAACCTGTGTGTTGAGAATTAATTAAATACTGATAAAACACTTTTATAACTGAAGTACCATGTTGCTGCAGTACCAAATAAGGAAGTTATACAAAACGGAGCTGCTGACAACTACCACTGCTTTTATTTTACAATTTTTTAGTTTATGTTGGTGGGGATCCATAAGGCCCCAATAGCCTCACAAGGATTTCACACAAGCACAGAAACTTGTGCTCCATGATGAACCCACAAATGCCACACTATTGTTAGCAGTGGGTTATATTTTTAGCAGAGAGGGAGCCAAAATATTTTTTTTTATCATCCAGCAATAGACTGTGAACAATCTGTAGTCCAGTAAGGCCTTCAGTGCTCAGATGAACTGAAAACAAACCTCTGCTGTATTTTCCTGTTAAAGATGTCAAAGGGACTAAATGGGATGCTGTGCTTTAAAAGAGCACGAGTACAAATCCTTGTATTCTCTCAGCAGCTTCCCACTGTTAAAGCAGAATGCAAACTATGGACAATCACGTAGACAACATATTCATGACAGCCACAGTCACAGTGCAGGAAAGATGACGGGAAGTTTAGCAGAAAGAGCCCTGTGGAACTACAGAAAGTGAACAGTGAAAATAAAGCCAGTAGCAGGCAACGGAAAGGCATCCCCGGGTTTACACAGCCTGGAGCCCGGGTTTGTACCTGCCCAGAAAAGCTGCAAAAACCGGTCACAGCCTGCGAAGCACCACAAGCACCTCGGAGGGCGGCACTGCCGCTTGCTGGAGTCCAGGGGAAGACGCTAATTTCGCTGGGGAAGACACAGCATGCCTGAAGCGCAGAATGTCAGAAAGCCAGAGGATGCTTTTTCCTCGTTTATCTCTCCGTTCCTCCCTCGCTGCAGCTATTTAAAGATTAAAAGGGTACAGCTAGCCCCAATAAAAGCGCGGTGAAAGTCCAAAGCACCACCCTCGCACAAAGCCCCACGCCCTGGGGGGGTGGGTGACAGCTCACTGGAGAGGAATCTCCTCACGCACACCGCGCCGGGACGGGACGGGACGGGACGGGACGGCCGCCGGAGAACTCTGCGCAGTCACAGCCTTCCGCCTCCTCAGGAGCGGCCCTGCCCGAAGAGACACCCCGTCTCCCCCAAAGGCCACCGGACGCGACGCAGGAAGGTCCCCGGAGCCAACCTCCAACTGCGGAAGAGGGATGGGGGCAGGCTGGGCTACCAGAGAGACGCCCCGCCGCCTCGATCCCCGCCGCCTCTTCCCGCCCCTCACAGCCCCAGGCAGGAACCGAAGCAGCGGCAGCTACTTCCCTGTTGATGCTCGTCAACGGCCTTTACGCCGCCGAGGCTCTCGGGAGATGTAGTTCGAAGGCCCGAGCGCCCCCTCGCCGCTGGGCGGGGAAGGCAGCGCTTAGGACTACAACTCCCAGCATGCCCAGCGCCGGGGCGGTACTCAGCCGGTGGCGCCGGGAGGCTGCGGGATGGCGGCAGGTTTGTAATCGAAGGAGAGGGGTGGCGGTGGCGGTGACTAGAGCGGAGCGGCCTGAGGAGCGACAGCGGGGTGATGCCGCCCCGGCACCTGTGAGGGGCCGCGAGTCGGAGCTGTCGCGGTGTGGGCGCTTCGCGGGGGAGCGGCGGCCGCCGCGGGCTGTGGCGGTGACGGCGCCCGTGGGGCAGGGGAGGCGCCGGGCCTGGCCCCTCGGTTCGACCGGAGAGCGTGGCTGTGCTCGTCTCCCTACCGGCGGCCTTCGGGGGCATTCCTTCGTCCCTCCTCGTCCTCCCGGGACGGGTCAGCTTCAGCCCTCGGCGGCGGTTCGGGCTGGCAGGAGGCGCTGCTGCCCTTGGGCTGCGGGGGAAGCTTCGCCCCGGGCGGGCGGCCTCCAGAGTGTCTCCGCAGGGGACGGGAAAAATCGCCTGTGGACCCTGTGGGCTTGGATTTGCCAGTGCAGGAATCTGAACCTCGGCGGGAAACTCCCGCTGGCCTCTCAAAACGGTAGGCAGCTGAGAAACCTCTTCCGAAGGGAATTTCGCTGTTTCTCCCAGTCCCGGTTTTAAGCTTGGGTTGACAGCATGAGCCCTGTCACAGGGTTATTCCCTGATCAGCGGGAGCCTGGGCCACTGTGGTCGCCTGTCCTTTGTCCCGTGACCCCTTCTTTCCTCTGTGTTCCCTGTGACACCCCATATGCACGGGCAGGGAGTTAATTGCCCCCGGACTAGCCTGAGGTAACGGGGCTGAGTGGTCAGGCTCTCCCTGCCACGTCCTCATCAGTAGCACTTCTATCTCTTTTTCTTCCTCAGCGAGGAAATCGCTTTAGGTGTCCAGTCTTTGTGAATTCATTCATGTTTTATGACACTTGTAGGATTTTGGTTGTCACTGAAACTGTTGCAGTCTTCAGACTTTTTTTTTGGGATGGACTGAAGCTGGTTGGAAAGAAGAAGCTAACGGGCAGCATGGTTGTAGAGTTTCTGTGAGAAACTAAGGAAGACACAAAAATGACAAGTGCTGCGTTGAATATGTGCAGTGGAATGTTTGTATGTAGATGGACATATTTGAAACTTTGCATTAATATGAGGGTCCTGTGTGGGAAGTCTCTCTTTCAACTCGTCAAATCACTGCTCTTCTTTTGTTGCAGGCACTTTTAAAAAAAATCTGGATCCCTCTCTGTACTGCTGAAGATAATATTATACACAGCTTTGTAATATTTGATATAATATTAGGTGCACTCAATCCAACTTCTAATCTTTTATTTATGTTGGCTTCCTGCACACAAAGTCTTTGTTACTAGTTGTCTAAATTGTTTCTATTGCCTAGGGAAGTGTAGATTGTGACTTGTTTTTATAAATAGTCTAGGTTGGTTTTAAGAGACTAACTTCCTTTTACTGGGAATCTGTTATTATAAATTTTGTATTTTGTTTATCTGCTTACTTTCTAGGTACTAAAATTCGGTAACCATCCATACCAAATACCAGGAACTTTGAAAGTTCTACTGTCCTAACGCTATGTAACGTAATATTGTTATGTTAATGCTATATCAGCAAATAAATTGGAATACAGTTTACAAGATGCCAACTGTTGAAGACTTGAGTAGTGAACAAAACTTCATTGCACATTGGATGTCTGACTGTTCCCGTGCTGGAGTCTTATTAGATCCCAATTTTACTGGTTTGAAAATCAACAAAGGAAATGTATTATCTGGACCTGAAAACGTCACGGCTTTCCCTGCTGAAGTGTCGCATCTTTCAGAGATCTGTTCTCTAAGTGAGGACTCCTTGTGTGAGGAAGAGTCAGGCAGCGCTTGTACGCTTCGGCAATATACCACTGAAACATCTTTTCCAGCAGCAGCATGTAACACAGAAGCCTCCAAAACAGACTTCGTCCGTGGTGAAGAGGATGGTCGGAGTAAATCTGGTCACAGCGATAGACTCTTACAAAAGCTTGAAAAGGTATAAGTTCTAGAATTCCTTGATGTACATCAATTAAGATTTTGTTTCTGCATATGATTTGTCATACTCAGGAGTAAGCAAAGTCTTTGGAACTTACAGAACGCAGCAAGCTTAAAAAGCAAGTCCTACATCATAGTTATGTGTGCGTAAAAATGGATGTCCTCGGGATATGCAGTTATTGAGAGCTTTAACTTCTGTTATTTCCAGCTGGCGCAGGTTCCAGTCTAAAATGAAATGGTACAAAGAGTACTTGTTCTCAAAATCTTTTTACCTGGGAAGATACACACAGTTTTAAAAATGTTCCATTGTTTCTTCACTTCAAACTGTGGAGATGGGGTGCTGGTCATTGCAGTGGAATATCTTCACCACAAATATTCACAACATGGTGGAGTTGTATGTTCTTGTATCTATAGCAACATCACAAGCTGGAACATGGGAAGTTCCACTCAAATATGAGGAAGAACTTATTTACAGTGAGGGTGACAGAGCCCTGGAACAGGCTGCCCAGGGAGGTCGTGGAGTCCCCTTCTCTGGAGACTTTCAAGACCCGCCTGGATGCAGTCCTGAGTGATGTGCTCTGGGCAATCCTGCTTCAGCAGGGGAGTTGGACCAGATGATCTCTAGAGGTCCCTTCCAACTCTGACAATTCCGTGATTCTGTGATCTTCTGTTAGTTCTCAAAGTAGGTATGTACACCTGTATACCTGGTTCTCTTTAGATTAAGAGAGATGTTAGTGTTGAATGTGATGAAGTACCCAAGACATTGGGACAAAAAGGCCTGGAATTCCAACGCTGTCATGTTGTTAATTGTTTTGTTTTTTTCCCAGTGCAAGCATGTCAGTTAACCCAATGTAACTGGCTAGATGTTTGCTCGTACCTCTTCCCAATTGCTACATATGCTCTGTGTAAGCTGAAAGTGTTCAGAGGCATTTTAATAGATCTTGCTGTCAAGGATTAAGAACTCGCTCACCTCCCTGTCCCCTCTGCTGGGAGCTACCTCAGCACAAATCCCTGTGTCTGTTCACTCAAGTGGGGGGTGTGTGAGTCCCTAGCGTAGAATTCCACAACTTACCTGGTGTTATAAGAGTTTTCTCCTCTGTTTTACATGATAGGAAGATATTTATTCGCTTTTTCAGTATTGTCAGCAGTATCAGACAGTGACTAAATGACCGATATCAGCTGTTTTAACAGTATCTTAAGAGGAATTCTTAAGTTTCCTGTCTTAGAAAGTTATTGACAATCTAATGTGTTACTGAATGTTTGTAATTGTCAAACGTAGTTTTGGATGCATGAGATCTTTTTTTCAATTGGGTTTTCTGAGGATATTATTGGTACAGGTAGAAGCATGATTTATTTAATTAAATGGAGGGGTTGGAGATGAGACTTAGGTGATCTTTGGATCTTGATCATTAGTTCATAGCTTCTACTTGCATAGTGCCTTACTTGTGTTTTCACTGGAATTTTAAGGAACTACAAGGGAATTTTTTCTTCCCTGTTGGATGACAGCTGTGGTCCGATTGTTTCTCTGTGGAATGATTTCATCAGGCCTCCTGCCTGTCCTTTGGAGGACCTGAATCTAGTAGATATGTATGTGTTGGAGACAGAGATGGACATGGAGGCCCACCACCCATTGCGGTGGTTTGGTAGGGTATGGAGTGTCCTGCCTTCATATAGCCCTTGAGGCTGGTCTTGAGTCAGTGCCAGGGACTCCTGCTACACTAGAAAATGAAAACTGGATTACTGCATTAAAGTATTTTAGTTCTTTTTTTCTGGCAGCTTCATGAGTCTTAATGTTCTGTGATGCTCTTTTTCCCCCTCTCTTGGTCCTTTGTATCAGTACTGTTCACTGTGAGATCTTGGAGAGAAAACCCCCCCACACTTTTTCTAACGCTTGAATTATTATGAAGTGTTTCACATTTTAATAAAAACATGGCATAGTAGAAGCTAATGTTAAAAGAGCAGAATTTGAATATTTTTCTTCAAGCAGTAGAAATGAGTGTTCTGATTCCTATTGTTTACAGATTGGACAATTAAAGACTGGTGGAACTGTTGATTGACCAAACTGGAAATAGCATGTGCATTCACAGACAGAAAAATTCTTACTTTCTTTCATGTTACACTTACCTAATGGAACATCTTTAGAACAAAAAATACCAGTTGTCTTGATGACTCTAATCCTGTGGTACATTTCATGTAAACCTAACCTCTAATACATTTTTTGTTGTTGTTTGAAAAGCTGAAGGAATTGCAACAACAGAAACAGGAACAGCTAAAGAAACAACAGATGGAGCAACTTCAAAGGCTGATGGAAGAGCAGCAGAAGCTACTTAGCATGGTAGCTGGCCAGACAGCAGTTCTTGGTAAGTTGAGAAAGAAGATGTATGGAGTACTTTGAGTAAACTGAAGAATTTAATCTCATTTTCCAGTTAAAATCTGAAAGTGTTTTCAGTGTTCTTCATTTTAAGACTACTCAATTAGTCAAAAACTGTGCCTGAAAGTTGAGTGCTATTGTGGAAGGAATACTATCCTGTTTTTATAAAATGCTAACTGTAATTGTAACTTGATCAATATGTGCTATGATGGGAGCCCTTGTTTCAAAGAACATATTTTAAATGTAGACAGTGTAAAAGAAACAGTTGCTTTCCCTTCTGATTAGCTGTTTCTCACAACACTTTG